TGCGAGCGCCTAAGCAGCAGCAGCAGCAGCAGCAGCAGCAGCAGCGGCGGCGGCGGTGGGTGGTTCAGCAGGGGAAAAGCCAAAGCAGCCAGAGATGCAGCAGCAGCAAAGCAGCAGCAGCAGCAGCAGTAGCGCGGCTTCCTGCAAGCGCCGCGCTGCTCCTCTTCCCCGCGAGAAGCACCAGCAGCAGCAGCAGCAGCAGCAGCAGCAGCAGCAGCAGCAGCACCTGGGGGCAGTAGAAGACAAGAATCCTGAAGGCGTTGGCGAGAATGAGGGTTTGCTTTTTGCTGCTGCCGCTGCCGCTGTTCTTCAAACCCTCGATGCGCCCCAGGGCCTCCGTCAACACCGAGAAACTGCGCCCCAAACCCTAAACCCTAAACCCTAAACCCTAAACCCTGAACCCTAAACCTTTAACCCTAGTGAGGCGCGCAGTGCAGCTCTCAAGATCCAGGAGAAGGCGCAAGCGCTGATGCGAAACGCGTCTAAACCCGCAGACAGACCCTAAACCCTAAATCCCAAACCCTAAACCCTAAACCCTAAACCCTAAACCCTAAACCCTCGACTCACTAGACGTTGCCCTCGCTGTCGCTGTTTCTTTTGAAGTCGAAAAGCTCTGGGTCAAAAAAAGGAGAAGACAAATCTGCTGTTGCTTCAGCAACTCTGCAGGCGAACAGAGAACCCGTCTTGCTGCTGCTGCTGCTGCTGCTGCTGCTGCTGCTGCTGCTGCTGCTTTCGAGCTTCGCCAACGCGCGGCGACCCTTGGCGCTCGCAGCTGCAACTGAGGCGAACAAACAAACACAAACCCTTAATTCTAAACCCTTAACCCTAAACCCTAAACCCTAAATCCGAAACCCCCCTTAGAGCGAGCTCCAAACCCTAAACCCTGAACCCTAAACCCTAATGCTGCTTGCCTTTTATTTTGCTGCTGTCTTCTGCTGTTTCATCTTCAGATATATCGTCGTAGCCCTCGCCTTCTGATCATATGCAGAAAACCCTAAACCCTAAACCCTAAACCCTAAACCCTAAACCCTAAACCCTAAATTCTAAACCCTAGACCCTAAACCCTAACCTGATATGGAATCCGCTTCTTCATCATCTTGATCCTCTTCTGCTGAAGTCGCCTTAACTGCTGCTGCTGCTTTTGCTGCTGCTGCAGCTTTCCTCGATTTTGCTGCTGCCGGTGTTGCTGCTGCTGCTGCTGCCTTCTTCAATGGTTGTTTCTCAGCAACTGTCTTCGTAGTTGCTGCTGCAGCTTTTGCTGCTGTTGCTGCTGTTGCTGCTGCTGCAGGAGAGGCTTTGGCAGCAACCCGGGCACTGTCTGCTGCAGCAGGCCCACTGTCTGCTGCTGGTGTTACTGCTGCTGCTG